GCTCTCCCCCAACCCTGTAGCGCATGGGGTTGTTGTGACCCAAGTGCAGGACCCAGCACTTGGCCTTGTTGAACCTCATACCATTGGCCTTGGCCCATTGATCCAGCCTGTCCAGATCCCTCTGTAGACCCTTCCTACTCTCAAGCAGATCAACACTCCTACACAGCTTGGTGTCATCTGCAAACTTACTGAGGGTGCACTTGATCCCCTCGTCCAGGTCATTGATAAAGATATGAAACAGAACCGGCCCCAATACTGAACCCTGTGGAACACCACTTGTGACCAGCTGCCAACTGGATTTAACTCCATTCACCACAACTCTTAGGGCCCTGTGATCTAGCCAGTTTTTTACCCAGCGAAGAGTATGCCCATCCAAGTCATGAGATGCCAGTTTCTCCAGGAGAATGCTGTGGGAAATGGTGTCAAAAACTTTACTAAAGTCCAGGTAGACAACATCCCCAGCCTTGCCTTCATCCACTAAGCGGGTCACCTTGTCATAGGAGGAGATCAGGTTAGTCTAACATACTGTTTGCTGTGAGAAGATGTGTAGTCCAAAAATAAAATCTCATATATCACCCATGTGGTGTTCTTTTTGTCACACAGTAATTTTTTAACAGTGCATACCTCCTTATTTATCCGGTCACAGCTTTAGTTGGTGTCCTTTGTAGGTACCCCTTTTAAAAAAAAAGCAAAAAAGATGACCTATTTAATAATTTTTAATGATTGTCTTGAGTATCTTGCTACATATGTAAAAAATGATGTGCAACACTTTGAACATGACTACTAAAAGCGCTCTAAAATATCGAAAAATTTTAACTGTTTTATTCCCACTTAGTGAAATCTTAATAAACAGATCATGGCAGTGTGGTGTCCTGTCAGAGAAAGTGTTTCTTGTAACTGAAAACTGACCAGCTTGCAAATTTAAAATTGAAAATGTGATCGGAATATAAAATATCTTCAGAATTTCTGTGGAGACGTGCATGATATCCTATCACCTCTGAGGGGTGATAATACGGTTACATGTTTATATACAGTTCTGAATAGTTTGTGAAAGCAATTACATCTGTGACACAGAAACCAAGATACTATACCAGTCTTGCTCCCTTTGTTCACTCTGTTGTTATATTGCTGTCAGATGCCGAGCCCCTGAAGTTTTAAATAACCTGGATGTATATTTCCAGTTGAGTTTAATTAAACTTGAATTTCTTTTGTTGGTGGTACTAAGTAATTAAGAACTGCATTTATTTTTGTAAGCTTTGGTAGTTTCACAGAAACAGAATTGTGTTTGCAGCAGGCATATAGGAACACTTTCCACGTAACTTGTCTCTGTAAAAGTGTTGAATAAGTGGAGTTCATTTTGTTTGTTTTATAGGTCTACCTCGATCTCGTAGTCAGACGTGCCTGCCTGAACTGTTAAGATTTCTGGGACAAAATGTACATGCAAGGAAAAATAAGAATGTTGATATCCTTTGGCAAGCTGCTGAGGTATTTATTAATCTAAGCATCTCTGCCTAGTTTAGCTGATTTTCTGTACGCATATGAATCTTCCCCTTTTTTATTACCGATATGTTTGAATTTCTTCATTTGCTTGCATGAAGCTTGGAAATGCTGCCAGGTTAAACCTCCTCTAGAACGAGACATGGGGAGATAAAATGTATTTTCCGCATCAGTATTTTCGCTACAACTCATGCAATGAAGTTCTGCTTTCTCAAAGATGACAAGTTTTGACATCGAAGTCCTGCACAACATTTATGTCTCTAGAAGTACAGGTGTGTTCTCTGACAGAAGGTTATGCATGAGGAAGGAATGATGAATTGTATATCCCATTTCTAGATATGCCGCAGACTAAATGGTGTTCGATTTACAAGCTGTAAAAGTGCCAAGGATAGGACTGCCATGTCGGTCACGCTAGAGCAGTGTTTGATCCTACAGCATGAACATGGAATGGCTCCACAGGTCTTCACCCAGGCTCTGGAGTGTATGAGGAGGTAAGAGTTTGACTGCATCACTTATTCCTAAATGAGGAACCATGCAAACTGTGGGGGAGCAGTGGTCTCTGTTTCTATCAAAAGGAAAAAAAGAAGTAAAATGAAGTCAGAAAATGGCAAAACTGGCTGCTAGAATTCATCCCTCCCTTGCATGTATTAGTGGGTTGCATATGCTAAAGCTGGTTGTTACCAGATTTGTATCAGATGAGCTTTAGTTCTCAGTAGTGAATCAGGAGTTTTCAGAGAAGCATGTAAAAATGTGTTTTCAATTAATGCTGAGCTTACAGAACAGGAAACCGGTGTTTTTTTGAAAGTTGTTTAATGCTGAGGTTACCTGAACTGTCATAGCACTGGATTTCTGAGTTCTAGATCAGGCAGATTTCTCAGGGATGACCTGTCTTTTATTCTCGGAAACACAGACACCTGCAGTTTGCACTGGTTTACCACGTGTCTTCTTTAGCAATGAAACACTGCTCACTGGGTGAAATGTCAGTATGGGTGTTTCACAATACAGCAACCAAGTTTCATCACAACGTGTCAGTGTGCTGTTGTTGTATCAGTATAGTGATGTTCTGTATTCTGAAGCAGCAGAGGTGTTTGCAGAATTAAATACTGTACTAAAAAAAAAAAAAAAAAAAGAAAATCTGTTTACTGTTGTTCAATGCCTTGTTTCAAGCACTGCTGGAAAACTCCGTAACTCACATACCAAAAGAAAGGATAAGAAATCTAGCTTTAGTCTTTATTGATGTAGTTCAACAATGCTGTTCAGTCCTGTTTTTCAACATTCACTCTTACCGAATGTACTGTACTGTGTGTCTTCTCACCAAATTCTGTAGAGTGTTCAATTCTCTTATCCTTTCTGTATGTTTTTGCTGTTTGACCCTTTCTTACTCTTCAGTTACCTAGAAGGAAAATGTCTCTCATAATAACACTTGCAGCCTCTTACACTAATAATTTGGGGTTTATATCTACATCTAATTGGATGTCACTGGACTTTTTTATTTTCACTTTTTTTTCTGTGCTTTTTGCTGCATTGTTACAGAGTACAGTACAAGAAAACTACGTTCAGAGACTAGTTAAACCTTGATATTAGAAACAAAACTTGGAACAGCTTTGTGAGGGAGACGTTATTAACTTAAAATGGAGCTAAGTGGCTCTCAAATATCTTTAAATTGTGTAACTTGTTGACGTAGACATCTGAAAGAAAAAAAAGCTTTGTTGTGCAGTTTATTTAGTAAAAATGAAAATGGGACGGGTATCATACTAGTAATCTTGCTACTTTCTTTAAATTAGTTACTGAGTTTTTTTTAACGCAGTCATGGACGCAATAGAGACAGAGTTTAATAATAACATTGTTTTGGACCTTCAGACTATCAATTTAATATAACACAGAATCAGATAAAATATTGACCCAAGAAAGGCATTGCTTTATGTTGACCTACACAGGGATATTGTAAAAGGGCCAATTTAATCAAAAACCTTTGGCTCGTATGTTCTAGCAACATCAGGGACTTGCTCTGACAGGTGAAAGACGTGACTTTCTCTTCTGTTAAATCTTTGACTGAGAGAGATTGTGCAAAACAAATACTGACTAGTCCTGAATGAATACTAAGTTTAGACCATTCTTCAAGCCTATCACTCTTTCTTCCTTACATCTCATTGCTTTTGTTAAAATTATTTGCCAGTTCTGCTCAGGAACAATGGTACAGAATTAACAAAGCTTAACAAGAGAGATAGGATTAAGGAACAAATCCACCAAAATCCAACTCCACCCAAACCCATTTCAGCCCAGACAGGATGACTTGACCTAGGTGACAGACATACGAAGTGAAAGGGTAGCAAATTGCTTCCAGGGCATTCAGAAAACTTGCTTTTTCTTTTAATTTGGGTCTTTTATTTGTGTAACTGGACTGGAAAAGGGAGGCTTCATTCAGTCTTGAAGAATTCTGAAGTTTCTGGGGCAGTTGGAAGGATAGGGAAGAAGTACTATTAAGCTGTGGGACTCAAAGTATTTCATCTCTTCTCTGCTGGTAACTTTCCAGAGAAGAAAAGCATCCTTGCTTACACTGTTCTTGAAAAATTAAGGAAGCACCTTCTTCTTCCAGGTGAAGTTGGTCTTCAGGGTTGTTAGTTCCCACTTACTCCTCCTCAGGGCTTTCCTTTCCTTCCTAGTCTTGTGACAATTACATGTCTGTGATGATTATGGTCAGTGAGCATGGACATCACAGAGAGAACATTGAGTGCTTGTAGATTCTTGTAGAAATTCAGATACAAGTTTGTGCCTTTCCCCTTAGAAACAGATATCCTATTAGAATAAACTCACTTTTCTGTAAATAAGTCACAGCTTTCCCAGTCCCAAATCAAATATATGCTAACTCACAGCCTACAAATAATAAAATCATCATGATATGTCTGGAAGTCCAAGCTACAGAGGAAATGACTACCTGGCCAGTAAAGGCCACTCAAGAGTCAAAGCCCAACTGGATCACATAGCCTCTTCCATCCACAGCGGTGCCAACACTCTCCACTAGACCTGTGAGTCCCTGCCCTCCCTCCCCCTACCAGATTACTGTCCTGTCAGTACACCAGTGCAGCTGTTTGTATGAATATGCTCTAATCCAGTTTCAGTCAAAATCAGCCTGAGTAGCAAAATCCTTTACAGGTTTAAGGTAGCCCAGTTCCTTTTGATTAAACCAATTAGGAAGTTGTGACACAAGCAGTTCAGCCAACAGAGAAGAGCTGTCTCTGATAGGGGCTCTTGAAAAGCAGCTGGAAATGAGGTAAGGGAAATAATACTTTCTAGCTGCCATGGCGCTGACTAAAAATACTACATAATAAAGCCCTGGCAGTCATGTTTAGATATGACCACTCACTGCAATAAAACAGCCATGATAAAAAGCTTGGTTGGATTTCTTCACTGGTTGACCTGCTTTAAGAATAAAATTGTGGTGGGTTGACCTTGACCACCTGCCAGATGCCCACCCAGCTGCTCTCTGACTCCCCCTCCTCAACAGGACAGAGGGAGAAAATATGATGAAAAAGCTTGTGGGTTGCGATAAAGATCAGAGAGATCCTCTGCAGGTTACTGTTACAGGAAAAACAGACTCGACTTTGAGAAAATTAATTTACTGCCAATAGTTTTGGATGGTAAGAAACAAAGACAAAAATTAAAACACCTTGCCTCCACAACCTGTTTTTGTCCCGGGCCCAAGTAGCTTTGTTCCCAACTCCTCTACCTTCTCCGCACACTGAGCAGTGCACGGGGTGGGGAATGGGGGTTTGTGGTCAGTCCGTAACAGCTCCTCCCTGCTGCTCCTTCCTCCTTGTACTCTTCCCTGACTCCAGCGTGGCTCGTTCCCACGGGCTGCAGTCCAGGATAAACCTGCTTCTGCATGGGCTCTCCACGGGCTCTAGATTCCTGCAGGAAATATTCACCTACTCCACTGTGGTCATCTCCATGGCTGCAGGGGAATCCCTGCTCCAGCACCTGGGGCACGTCCTCCCCTCCCTCCCTGACTTTGGTACTCACAGCGCTGTTTCTCACATCTTTTCCTGTCACTCCTCACTGCCATGCAGTGTTTTGCCTTTTCTTACGCACAGTTTCCCCGAGGCACCACCCACATGGCTGAGGGGTTCAGCCATGCCTGTGGTGGGTCCACTGGAGCTGACTGGAACTGGCACAGGGCAGCCCCAGCCTCTTCTCACAGAGACGATTCCCATACACAAGCCGCATTAGCAGGGAATTTGCTTTGTCTCTTTACCCTGGTCCTCTCCTAGAGGTAGTCTGCTGATGAATGCTTTTATTTACCGTACAATTTGGTATATTTGGTATTTCCAAAAGGTGACTTTTCACCCCTCAGGTGGCAGCAATCTACATGGGCCAACAGTGACAAGGAAAGCACTTTCCAGCTCTTGCCTCCATTCTCACTGTATGTGTCTGTGTCTATGTCTTTGTGTAAAATTGAGTAGCTTGAGATGAATTTTTAATGGTAGAGATGTGGCACGTCATGTTTATAACATCATCTTGTCATTTTGAGCCTTTCTTCCTTCTTTCCCTCTCCCCTTGTTTTTCTTCCTTAGCAATATCCTAAAACACTTTTCCTCCTCCAGACTATTCTGTTGAGCCTTTATCCATCACTTTCCAGACAGCATTAGCTTTCCGCTTCCTGATTCTCCTGACCACACACAGCCCCCCTCCCCCGTCCCCTCAGCTACTACAAAGATAATTGGGATTTGTAGGCATCACAGATTCAATCTGCCCTTATCCAGTGTAGGCACCAGGAGTGAAAACGTATTTTGATCACCAATTTGGATGTGTTAATCCAGATCAGAAATAGAGTTGGTTTAGTTCCCTGCCCACCTAATTCCATTTGACTTGAAGTGTCGCCAGTATCTGAAGGCTGTTTTTCTCTTTCACCACCTCCAGGGTATCTCTGATGTCTTCTAGGAATTTGTCTGTTGGTTACCTAACCTTGCTACACAACCATCCTTTTATGGATGGAGTGAGTACACTTGTTCTAACAGGATCAGGCTCACAGGTTGATTTAGTTGTTGCTTTGTAAACTAAAAATAGAGTTGAACTGCACAGGGTATAAGAGTGATCCAAAATGAAACGCCGCACTACAAAGCCTCGGGTGACCTGAAGAGGTGTTCTCCGCTGGAGGCCTTTGGTGCTCAAAGCAATGTAGAAAGCAGGGGCATAATGAGATGGGCTGTGCAGCATGTCTTGCCTTCACGTGCATATATTTAGGCACTTCAGAAACATGCATTTTGGAGAGCATATTAATACACACCTCAATTCGTGCTAAAGCAGAAAAATACGTGGGTGGTTTGGGGTTTTTTTGTTTACATAATGAGCAGGTAGTCAAGAGGTTAAATTATTTCACTGCAGCCTACCTGGAAAGATGTTTGAAAGGGTCAAATACTACAATGGTTGTTCATGTTCAGCTTGCTTTTCAGAGCTCCACTTCTTTGCAGCATGCGGAAGCATGGCAGAGCAGCATGGGATATTATTGCGTAGTAATCTGAAAGAGTGAACATGGAAAACCATTTATGTTCAACCTACATGTGTTTATTTTCAGTAGACTACAGTACTTCTTTCTTATTTTTCTCTTTTATTCTCTTTCC